GGGATAAGAGGGAAGATCCTTTCATGGACTGAGAACTGGTTAAAAGACAGGAAACAAAGGGTAGGAATAAATGGTAAATTTTCAGAATGGAGAGGGGTAACTAGTGGTGTTCCCCAAGGGTCAGTCCTGGGATCAATCCTATTCAACATATTCATAAATGATCTGGAAAAAGGGGTAAACAGTGAGGTGGCAAAGTTTGCAGACGATACTAAACTGTTAAAGGTAGTGAAGACCAAAGCAGACTGTGAAGAACTTCAAAAAGATCTCACCAAACTAAGTGACTGGGCAACAAAATGGCAAATGAAATTTAATGTGGATAAATGTAAAGTAATGCACATTGGGAAAAATAACCCCAACTATACATATGATATGATGGGGGCTAATTTAGCTACAACTAATCAGGAAAGAGAGCTTGGAGTCATCATGGGTAGTTCTCTGAAGACGTCCACGCAGTGTGCAGCAGCAGTTAAAAAGAAAACAGGATGTTAGGAATCATTAAAAAAGGGATAGAAAATAAATTCATGGTATGCCCACATCTGGAATACTGTGTACAGATGTGGTCTCCTCATCTCAGAAAAGATATCCTGGCATTAGAAAAGGTTCAGAGAAGGGCAACTAAAATGATTAGGGGTTTGGAGTGGGTCCAATATGAGGAGAGATTAAAGAGACTGGGACTTTTCAGCTTGGAAAAGAGGAGGCTAAGGGGGGATATGATAGAGGTCTATAAAATCATGAGTGGTGTGGAGAAAGTGAATAAGGAAAAGTTATTTACTTGTTCCCATAATATAAGAACTAGGGGCCACCAGATGAAATTAATGGGCAGCAGGTTTAAAACAAATAAAAGGAAGTTCTTCTTCACACAGCGCACAGTCAATCTGTGGAACTCCTTGCCTGAGGAGGTTGTGAAGTCTAGGACTGTAACAGGGTTTAAAAGAGAACTAGATAAATTAATGGAGGTCAAGTCCATAAATGGCTATTAGCCAGTATGGGTAAGGAATGGTGTCCCCAGCCTCTGTTTGTCAGAGGGGGGAGATGGATGGCAGGAGAGATGTCGCTTGATCATTACCTGTTCGATTCACTCCCTCTGGGGCACCTGGCATTGGCCACTGTTGGCAGACAGAGTACTGGGCTGGATGGACCTTTGGTTTGACCGTTCTTATGTTCTTATGTAAGATTTGGCTCAGAAAGATGCTGAGGACTCTGACCCATCTTCCAAAGCATTTAAACACATGATTAACTTTCCACCAGGGCCCAGCCCCAATGGTGCACTTGCTTCTGTGGTCAGTTTAATCAGAACCAGAGTATTCAGCACTTTGCAAAACTACGTCTAGACTTTGGCTGGTCTGTGCCCAGTCAGGCGGATGAGCAAAGGAGAGAAGAGCAGAGGCACTGCACCCCACATTTTGCATTTCCTGTGCAAGGGCCAAGGCAGTCTAGGCTTTCTGCTCTCCTGAGTTTAGCGCTGCCCCATTCTTCCAGGCTATGGAGCCAGCTGGCCACGAGCAGGAAAGGATACTGAACCTCTGCACAGGGTAGCATGGCATGTTTATGTAATCCATTCACCTGTGGGGTGTGGTTCACTGTCCCATGGAGTGGCACTTAGACCACTAACAGAGAGAATAATAAGTGTGTTTTACAGCATCAGCTGAGCCAGCTGGATTTTAGCTCATGCACCAGAGGTTCATGCACTGAGCCCCAGAAGTCCCAGGTCAGTTCCAGCAATCAATATTACACTTACTTCTGCTGGCTGAGTTTCCCTGGATCTCTCTCATGGAGAAAGTGGCTCTGCACTGGCCCCAATATGTGTCTTTTATGATATAGGCCCAATGTAGCATATTACTCACGGAAGAAAACAGTGAAAACAACAAGAGCTCCAATTACTTCTAAAAAACTGGTTGCCAGAGACGGATTAAATGCTGGATTCCAATCTGAGTGTCAGGGGCATGCGTCAGAGTATGTGTCCAGGGAATGGTATTGCCACGACATTCCCACTTATGCAGATTGAGGGCAGGATGCTCTCTTACTCTTCATACAGGTATAAGCATTAAGTAAAATATGCACAAATGCATGCCTGTGTAACTCAAATTAGAAACAGGCTCTAAGGAGACTGTAGATGTAGGACAGAAGAATACATTAAAACACCTGCTAAACCATATGAGAGTTCAAAATGATAACCAATTCACAATACCCCTGAGTAAATCAACATCTACCCATTCCCATTAAATGGAAGAATTATGACATTTCTTGAACACTCAGCTTGCATATTCTGGCTCCAGAGTTTCATGCATTTGAGATATTTTATAGTTTTCCTTTTTAACTTAATTGGATTTAATAGAGTCTATGAGTTCTTGAACAGATATTTATCACAGCATAATATTTATGTTGTTATTTCTACCTGCAATAATAAGTCTTCCAGATTTTATTATATTATATAAGAATTCTAACTTGTTCTTGTCTCGGAAACCGCTGATAGATACATAAGATTTGCATTTTTCCAGCATGGCTTCCCATCCACCCTCTAGCAGCAAAAGAGAGGTATATTTTGTGCTCTCAAACTTCTGCTGGATTTTTGTGGAGGTGGTGGTGATTCTTTTATTTATTTCTTTAAGAGTATGTAGACTTCAGTTTTATGAAGTGAATTTTAACAACAAGAAATATCCCAAACAAAAATCCATAATAAATACTGTGGGAAACATTCTGTGTGTTATCTTTATGTACCTACAAATACTGACATACTGTGTGCTTTACTGATATATTTTACTGGGCTATTACCATAGATGACAAAGTAGGAAATATAGAAATGTAATAAGGATAGAGAAGAAATTCATGAACCTTCGTATCCAGAGATTTTATTTTATATTTACTTATAGTGACTCTATTTACTTAAAGTGACAACATGCAATTTATAGTTACTGTTAATAGATGTGGCTACTTTAACAAAAATATATTAGTTGCATGAAAAGAAAAGAATGAAAGTGAACAGAGGAATCCGCAGTTAAATTTGCTGATATATGTATAAAATAAAAATATAAAGCATTTAGTAATTTTTTCTTTTAAATATGTCATTACTGTTGCAAAGCAGGCTTTTCCTGTCGATGGCCTTTGCGTATAGCCCATCCAGCCACACAAAGCAGCTCACAGAAAATGTAGGCCTCTGACACACTTTAAGAAAGCATAACTTGTAAGCGCACAATGCAGTTTTTTGTGAATGGAATTTGATCTTACAGGCATCCTGAGACTCTCAGGCACCAGAAAACAGGGAGGTGGGCATGACTAGATAGTTACAGATAAGCCTCGTTTGACCATAACTTGACCGGTCTTAGAGGCAAGAGAAAAAGCAAACATAGGGTAATAAAACACAACTGTCTCACACTAACCATGCCCCATCTAGTCCTGTCCACGAGGGGATCACGCATACATCACGAAAATTCCTATAGGGCAGTATTGTCATACTACCTCATCACTAGCCTATCAGGCCCTGCCAAATGCAGACCCTAGCATGGCATTAGACATCGAATTTTTGTATAAAAGACTCTCAACCCCTTTGTTCGACGGAGGTTCTGTGTATTGAGGGCACGTGTCTTTTTTTTGCCCGGCTAAAGGACTGATCACCCTGAGGCTGCCTCCCCACCGTTCGAGTCAAATATAGGGGTGCACGAGTCCTGAGCATGCTCCGAGTTCTAGTGTGTCTTTGTGTTGTTATCGTTGCTGGATTTGTAAGTATTGCTTAAATGTATTGGTTATTGGTTTAATTAATAGTTAAATTTGTGTTAATTTCACTGTGTAATTCTGTAAAGTGTATCTAAGTTCTGTTAACCACACTGTGTAAATTGTATAATCTTGTGTTGTGTAGTAGTGTTGTATTTAGGCTAAGTATAAGTGTTAGAAATAGAAGCCCAGGAGTTGTTAAGTTGTAAAAGTAGATTTATGACTAACTCCACCAGCTGCCCTAAAATAACCATAGAGGGGCTGGCTTTGGACGGAGTTTTTATTATCATTATATTGGCTTTGTTTTTGTATCTTTTGTTTGCAAGCTGCGCTGCCTTAAGCAAATTCGAGACAGTGATTTGGTATAGTTGAATTGTAATAAAAGAAGTTTGTAATTAGTTAAGTACAGCTAAGTTTAGGGTTTTCTACCCTGTAAAAGCATTGGGCAATTGATAGTTTAAAAAACCATTTGCTAATTTTTAGTTTTGATTAAAAAAATCATTCCACTTAATAAAAATAATTTGTTTCACCATCATCCAGTAGTTTTCACTGGGTAGTCGGCTTTAACCCTTGAGGCTCCCATCACATCAAAGAACCAAAGTGTAACAATTACCTTTTGCAAAATCATTATTAAAAACACAAATGTTTAATCTTGTATGATTTCTCTTAAGCAATTAAAGATGTATAATGATTATATTGGCATATCTGTGATTCTAGTGAATAAAGATTTTCATGGCTGGACTGTATTATAATGTGTCTGTATAGATGCAGATTGGGACCACTTGGACTAACACAAAATAAATATTAGTCATTACAAGACAAGATAGGTCCCCTTCACAAAAGGCATATAGGCAAAATCTCATGGTCAAATAATACTATTAAGGCCAAAAGATTAACATAATTCTATAGTAGAGATATAACACATATCAGGTAAGTTTATGTTGTTATGGGCTAACAATTAACACGTTTTAAATCCAGCCTCCCTGTTCTTTATTGTTGTCAAGTGTTTTCTGACTTTAAGGTAAGATGAGGTGTCTTGCGTTAACAAGCTAATGGAACAGATCACCATGATCTGAAAAAACTGAATAGGTGCCATTATATGCACTGGGGACTTTTATTTCACTATTCAGCCTGTGCCAAACCAAAGGAGAGACTCACAATGAAACCACACAAATTGAATTCTTGTATCATCCAAAAGCAAAATGGAAAGTGCATGTATGAAATAAGAGGAACAAAACTAGATGAAAGAGTTAACTCTAGGACAAAACTAGATCCTCTCTTGGATCTCTTACCTCATTTACATAGACCCAGTGACTATCCTTTGAAGCAAGGTTGGTTTCCACAGCCTATGGAGAAAAATAAATACATACATAAATAAATCAAATTGAAGATATTCCAAGTTAGATTATACTTCTTCATAAAAAGACACTGTGATGCCTATTTTCTCTGTACCAAGTTGTCTGCATTCATACTGCTGCTACTTTACTGAAAGTCATCTAATCTTTTCTGATTTGAATATTTGCTGTATACAAACTACACTTGCACAGAGTTGAAACAGAGAAGCACATCACCATACAGAAAACAAAGCTCAGAAGCAGTTAAGTGGTTTTTGGTCCATGGTTAAATGTCCTGGGATATTTCTTAAGGTTGCTGGTAGGATGTTTTCAGTATTTCATAGGTCTCTCATTAACACACACAGAAGGTTCACTGTCCAGCTGCAACCCCTGGGTTAGTAACATATTGGTAAAATTAATAGCTATGCAGAAATCCAGCACAAGTTATATGCATGGAAGTTTCTCCTTACATTTTTTTAAATTTTTCCTCCTTACATTTTTATATTATGCATAAGGGTCAGTAAATATAAACAGACGGTTGAGGTCAGAGGATAACACAATAGCAGGTAGTGGCTAAATGTGATAGGAAACTGAATGGAAAGGGCTTGACCAATGTTTCCACACAATTAATTTTCTAACTATTCCCTGCTTCACTCTTTTGGTAGGCAGTTGATCGCATTCCAGAGGTGATGGGGTTCTTTACAGCTGCAGTTGTTAGTACCCTCAAACAAGTGTCAGAAGATCCACTACACAGTGTCACAGATGTGGGATTTGTATGGTCTGGGAAACTTAATCATGTTTTAAAACATGTTAGTTAACACATGCTACTTAACACATTTATAAACACAGAGGCTACGTCTAGACTGGCATGATTTTCCACAAATGCTTTTAACAGAAAAGTTTTTCCATTAAAAGTATTTGTGGAAAAGAGCGTCTAGATTGGCACAGACACTTTTGTGCAAAAGCACTTTTTGCAGAAAAGCATCTGTGCCAATCTAGACGCAGTTTTGCGCAAGAAAGCCCCGATTGCCATTTTCGCCATTGGGGCTTTTTTGCGCAAAACAGTTCTCAGTTATCTACACTGGCCATCTTGCGCAAAAGCATTTGCACAAGAGGGCTTTTTCCCAAACGGGAGAGTCATTGTATTTGTGCAAGAACACTGACGATCATACATTAGATCGTCAGTGTTCTTGCACAAATTCAAGTGGCCAGTGTAGACAGCTGGCAAGTTTTTCTGCAAAAGCATTTGCTTTTGCGGAAAAACTGTCCAGTCTAGACGCAGCCTAGAGTGTAGTCAGAGACATCAATGTTTATAAATGTACTCCCAGACTGGGGTCAAATCAAGTGAAGTTGCTAATGCCATTTGTAAGCTATCTAGCTATTTAGGAGCTAATATTAAGTTGGTATACTTGAGCAAAAAAAACCGCAAAAAACAAAACTTCAAAAACAGACTGCAGTGTGAACCTGGAGCTGGAGAGCTGGAATTCATAATGCAAACTTAAGACTATTAGAATAGGCCTGAATAGTGACGGGAAATGGCTAATTTATTACCAGCAGTAATTTTCTCTGTAGATATTCTCACCTTATCACTGTTGGGGCCCCACCCATTCTGACTGAAGTAGCCTCATTAACACTGCAGTAACACACCCATCTCTGTATGTACCTATACCCTGCCAACTGAAGCTTCCACTTACTGCATCTGACCAAGTGAGCTGTAACCCATGAAATGCCAAAACCCAGGAAAGCTTATGACCAAACACATTTGTTTGTCTTTAAGGTGAAACAGGACTCCTCTTTGCTTTTAAAAATATGGTAAGTATTAAGTAGCTGATCTGTTTTAAGTGACCACTCATCTTCCCAAACTACACAAGTCTGGTGTGTAGCTCTTGGGAAATCATTTCCTCTCTCTGTGCCTTTTTGGTCTCATTTGTACAACAGGGACAGTTCCTACCCACCTTTGTAAATCTTTTGAGAGCCACAGAATGAAAACAGCATGAAGAAAGGACAAATTATTTATCACCATCAGTAAAATAATATTGTGGCTGTTTTAACCAAGACAGGTCTCAAAGTAGATGAGAAGGTTCAATCCTTATAGACAACCCTCTCTATAATACAAGTTCTATGTTGCTTCTGATAGTATTATATTGTGCATATGTTTAGATGTTAGGAAAGTAGAGAGAAATGGAGGCCACTTAATTGGGAGAATACACATTTTAAGGAAGCTATCAGCCTTTAATAAAAAAAAAGTAAAAACCTGAAGTGACCCCTTCAGTTCCCTGAGTGCTGCATAGAGAAAGCCATTTGCTGGGCAACGAAGACCATGGAGCTGTATCATTTAGTAGAGAAAGAGCCATAAAATGGCAAAATTAAGCAAAGCAGAACTAAGGAATGCTCTGACGCAGAATTATTCCACTGGACCCTTTTTGTGAGTAAGCCACAATGAACAATTTGCATCAGTAAACATAAAGGCTAGGACTTAAAACAGCAAGAGACAGGAAATGTAAAGATAATTGCCTTACCCACCTGTGAAGAGCATCAGCATTTAGGCCAAGATTTTTAAACCTGACTCCTATGTCCTAACCTGCTGAAGTAAATGCAAGCTGCTGGATGCTCCACATTTTAAGTAAGTAAATATGAGTGTAGAAGCCTAATCTTAGATAATTAGATTTTAAAATCATCATTTTGGAGGCAGGGCTCCTATATAGGTAATGTGTATGAACTAAATCCCCTATAATTATTCAGTAAGGGTACGTCTAGATTGCAGAGTTTTTCCAGGATACTGGAAGTATTCCAAAAAACTCTGCCACGTCCACGGAACACGTCTGCCTTTCCAAAAAATTTTTCGGAAGGGCAGACACGTTTTCTTCGGCTTTGCTGTAAACCTTGCTTTATGAGGAAGAAGGGATGTTCCGAAAAAGGTTTTTTTTTCTCCGACATTTGGCCCAGTGTAGATGGGCCAAATGTTGGAAAAGCCTCTTCCAAAAAAAGAAGTGGAAAAAACTACACAAATTGCAGTTCACAATTTGTGTAGCTTTTTACGGAAGAACTGTGTAGTCTAGACACAGCCTAGAAATATGACGCTGCTTTGGCAGAAGAAATGAAAGAAGAGATGATGAATGTATTAAAAATAAAAGTTGAGCATTCAGTTCTGAGCAACAGTAGTAGTGATAACAAAGAAAGGAAAATATGATGCTGTAGAATTGCCAGGTGTCCGGAATTCACCCGGACAGTTCAGTATTTTCTCTTCCATGCTTACCTGGATCCACAAGGCTGCGAGCACAAAATGGCTGCCGGTAA